ATATATATATATATATATATATATATAGGCCTATATAAACCACTTACCATTTAGCACAATTATTTTACAATTAAAAAATGCAAAATGATCATTTCATGTATTATATAAAAATGCAAAATATCCTTTATTTATCAAATTGAAAACAAATTACAATTCATGCAAAATAACAAATTGATATGTTATGTAAAATACAAAATAACTATTTATAACATTTAGCAAAATAATTTTACAATTAAAGATGCAAAATAATCATTTTATGTTTAATTTAAAACACAATTAACTGTTTGTTTATGAATGAAATAACATTTTACAATTAAAAATGCAAAATAACAATTCATTATATAAAAATGCAAAATAGCCAATCTTTTTGGTTATTTTATTCTTAATTACTCATGTAATTTAATATGTAAACAGTGTAATAACTGCAATCTGAATGTATGTAATTAGTAGTACATAATACTGCAGTATACTATTTAAAAAAAATTAGTAAACAGTATGCTAACTACACTCCGTAGTATGCCGATTTTAGAAAATATTAAATTTTCTTGGAATTGTATTCATAAATGTTTTTATGCTTGGTTTAGGCAACATCATCCTGTTCAGATGGAAGAAAATGGGAAAGACATGAACACATTCCAGGTTACCTTAGCACCACTCCAAGCTCCCAGAGAACGATGAAGCGGCGCAGGCTGGAGGACTCGAGTGCAAGCACGCTGCGTGGACACTCTTCCGTTACACCAGGAGCAAACGGATTTGTAATGGCCTCGTCTCTTTTACCCTCTGATTTTACATGGTTGGAGTCACCGCGTCCAACAACCTCCTCTGCTTCTCATGTTTCTGCATCTTCCAAACCCTCGTCCTCAGCTGGGTCTTCCACGTCTGCACTGGATCAAACTAGTGATCCGGCATATTTAAATGAGCTGCTAGTAATGGGTCACCCCTCTAAGCAAAAGACACTAAACACCAGCAATGGAAGGGAACAGAGGTCCAAAAAGACCAAATCTAAAGCCTCTAAAAGTACATCAGCACACTCTTCTTTACACGCAATAGAGCATGAAGCTTCACTGCTGGATGCAGGTATGGATAAACAGGATCCACGCATTTATAGAAATAGTTAATGAAAATGTCCTCACCCTCAGACCAGCCAAGATCTAGATGAGTTTATTTGTTCATCTGAACAGATTTGGAGAAATGTAGCATTATATAACTTGCTCACCAGTGGATCCTCTGCAGTGAATGGGTGCCGTCAGAATGAGAGTCCAAACAGCTGATTAAAAACATCACAAGTAATCCACACATCTCCAGTCCATAAGTTAACATCTTGTGAAGTGAAAAGCTGTGTATTTGTAACAAACAAATTCATCATTAAGGTTTTAATTTCAAACCGTCGGTTTTCACTTTAGGTTTTAACTTTAAACTGTCATTTCTGGCTAAGATACGACTCCTTTATCGATTAAAATTTTTCCAAATCTGTTCTGATGAAGAAACAAGCTCATCTGCATCTTGGATGGCCTGAGAGTGAGTACATTTTCAGCAAATTTCATTTTTGCATGAACTCTGTCTTTAAATGTCAGGAGGGTATTGCTCAATGTCTTTTCTATAATAATTTTTTTTTTATAGCAAAGAGAATGCAAGAACCAGCAAGTTCACTTGTATGTCCGATACCAGAAGATATTGTCATCATAGAGGAGGATGCTGATGATGTCGCGGTGGAGAGCATGGTTCGCTCCGTTCAGATGGCTGAGGATGAAGCGTATGCCAAAAGCCTTCAGGTACGAAGCTTCGCTCTCCTGATCCTTCCCCTGAAACAATAGAGAAGTGACTAACTCTGTTGTTCTGGTGTTTGCAGGAACAGTTTGATATGGAGGAGCGAATGGAGCAGCAGAGGCTACAGAGCAGATCGCCAAGCAGAAACAACCACATGGTCAGTTTGGGTTTTTGCTTTATTTGGAGCACTGAATGATGGTGCTGTGATCATACTCAAACAAAAATGGATGGTTTCTTGCAGGTTGATCCGTATGTTGGCTTGGGCTGGATCCCTTCTTGGGCCTCAATGATCAACTCTGCACCTTTCTCACACGGACCCCCTGAGCTTTCAGAGCTGCAGCAGGTCATCTTTGGAGAGCAACCCCGTAAGTCACCATACATGAGCCAATCTCTGTCTTGATGATTTCATTTGGATTAAAAGCAGGTTTTAATAAATGTTAAAAATCATATTAGTATTAATTATATATGTGTATGAAATATTAATTCTAATAAATATTAATTGGTTTATAGATATTGTTTATCATTATAATATGCAATATATGTATATATAACTTAAAAAACATTACTAGATATTATACAACATATTCTATAGTATAATTGAAATTACAATAATTGTTATTTTTATATATTGTATAATAATAATAATAATAAATGTTATTTGTAGTGCGCCTTTCTTACACTCAAGGCGCTACAACATGGTAAAAAACATAACAATAAAATTACATAACAATAAAATAGAAAAATAACACATTACTCCAAATCACAAAAAAGTAAAGAAAGAAAAAAAAAGATATATATTGTTATATAATAAAAAGTATTTTATGCTCACCAAGACTGTATATGTTTAATCAAAAACTATAATATTGTGAAATATTATTACAATTTATGATGATTTAAAATGATATTTTAATATGTAAATAATTCATGTGATGCCAAGCTGAATTTTCAGCAGCCATTACTCCAGTCTTCAGTGTCAGATGATCCTTCAAGAAACATGTCTTATTATTAATATTGAAAGCCGTTCTGCTGCTCATTATTTTTGTGAAAACTGTGAAATATTTTTTCTGGATTCTTGCCATAAAAGAAAGCATTTATTTGAAATAAAAATCCTTTCTAACTATGTAAACGTCTTTGTCACTTTTGCATCCTTGCTTGAATAAAAGTATTAATTTTTTTTTTTTTAAAAACATCTTATCAAATGCAAACCTATACTGCATTCAAAATTGAAAAAAATTTGATTTTATATATATA